AGTGCAATGAGACACACACCCCATGGGTGGAATGTGCTACTTCTATTACATATCTAGCCCCGCTGGGCCAAGGGGCAGTAGAGAGTGTGTCTTGAGCTCAGTTCCCTGCACGAGGGCATGTTACGTTCCAAAAGGAGCACACACCAAGGTACTTAGAATGCCACTTGAAAGGAGCAGAAAGCAATGCTGGGAATTAAGGGTCCATTTATAAACCCTTTCTTAACAAATGGTTAATAGCTGCAGCAATATTCTTTAATAACTTACAATAGAAGGATGCTACAATAAGCTTAGCCGAGACACTCTTAGCAGACGGTGCTATGAAGTGAACTATAACTTGTACAGTAGCGAGAGCAAAGTAACATACGGCTTAGTTTAATAAAGAGAATCTGATTTTATGAAGCAACTTTCACGCTTGAGGCATCTCAGTACACTTTAATGAGTCCTTTTGTGAGCTTCACAATAGCGCACATGCAGCCTCGGACATCAGATGCTGTTAGAGAGGGAAAGCTGGCCAGGACACTGGGGCAGTTCCAGAACCTTGATCTTTAACCTCCTCGTGGGCAGCTGCCAGAACCAGGCAGAAGGGTCTGAAAAACAACTCCTAACACCGCACTGCACAGGATGCAAACCAAGCCTTTATCTGAGACGTGAACCATCTTTTAGCTAAGAGGAAATAATGTTATTAGCACCAACTAAACCAGACTGGCACCTGTATCTCTGATTATAAGGCATGCCGCAAATTATGTAATTTAATGAACACTGAAATAATAAAGTATTTATTTTGTATAATGAAGTGTTAGTCATTAGAAACCAAAGGCACATTGGGTATGCTGCTGTGGTTTCTCTTGAAGCCATGCCAGTATCACTCAAGGCTAAATATGTCTGCAGCAGGTTTAGAGTAAGTTCCTAGTCTTGTTTTGATCAGTATGTCAAGTGTTTTAGCTGCCATTTGGGTTTCTTTACATCACACTGTAATTGACGGTTTTCTCAAGGTGCAGTGAAGAAGAAAAAAAAGCAGCAAAACTCAGACTCCTTCTGCGAAATCCTCCACTGAAACTGTGCTTCTTTTCTGAAAGCTGATTTTGGTAGCAAAGGGCATTTTGTAAACAGCTGGTGAAAATAGACTGGAACTGAAAGGCAGCTTGCATTAAACTCCACAAGAAAGCCTGCTTTACCCTCGTGTGCTTTCTCTGTAGTGTCGATCAAACCACTTTCAGCTCCCAGGGGAGGCCCTTGGAAAAATAAAGGGAATGAAAAAAATAAAAAAGGCAAATAATGTCCTTCAGAGGCCCGACTGCACCGGAGAGCTCTTGGAATGGAGCTGGCTCGCTGCTCCTGCATCAGACATACTTGCCATGCAGACTGCCCCTGCCCGAGCTCACCCTCTGGGTCAAAGTGAAGGCTCCGCTCCAGCACAGTCCTCGCTTGCCCTTGGTTGTCAATTCTCACCAAGCAATCGGATTGGAGAATACAGGACTGAGCATCCCCCTCCTCCCAGCAGAGCCCATTCTTCAACGTCAGCTCATTGATTTGCAGATGTCAGGAGAGCAGCACAGAGAAACACAAGAGTACAAGGGACAATCAATCACGAGATGCCACAGGATACGGAGAAATGCACATGGGGCTTTCCATTGGCTTTGCTTCAGGACTATCAGCGTGCTCTTCACCCTGCCCCCGCCTGCAATTAGCTGCCTCAGTGTATCACCAAGGCTAGTGAGGTATCAAGGTCTTGCCTTCTGCAATAGGTCAGGACAGTGTTGGAAGCTGTCAAGCACTGCAAATGCTAAATATTCTTAGCCTGTGTGTTCTATTGAGGTGAGGGTTTCAAAGAGGGTTCTTCCCAAAGACTTTAAGGGCTGGAGGGGGGAAGCTAAGAATGCAGTGATTTAAATATCAAGGGAAGAACAGTACTCAGACTGGACCCCAAGAACATAAGAATGGCCACACTGGGTCAGACCAAAGGTCCATCCAGCTCAGTATCCTGTCTTCCGACAGTGGCCAATGTCAGGTGCCCCAGAGGGAATGAACAGAACCGGTAGTCATCAAGTGATCCATCCCCTGTCATCCAGTTCCAGCTTTTGGCAAACAGAGGCTAGGGACACCATCCCTGCCCATCTTGGCTAATAGCCATTGATGGACCTATTCTCCAGGAATTTATCTAGTTCTTTTTTGAACCCTGTTATAGTCTTGGCCTTCACAGCCTCCTCTGGCAAAGAGTTCCACAGGTTGACTGTGCACTGGGTGAAGAAATACTTCCTTTTGTTTGTTTTAAACCTGCTGCCTTACCCCAAAGAGGACCTGTATCCGTCTGAAACACTTTATGCACACACACTATATATTTAAATTGAAATATGAATGCTGGGCAGCGCCAGTGGCCAGCTACTGCTGGGTATTATCATGGGCTCAGTTCCTGACTGCTTGCTCCCTGCAGGAGCTGTGGAGGCAGCATGCTTAGCCCTCAGGGAAGGAATTTTTTTCTGCCATTCACCAGCAGCCCCTCTGGCTGATTAAGGGGCAATGATGAGGACAGGCTTTGATGGAGGTTTCCTTCCATTCCGCCACATCTGGAGGGATGGTGACTGCTGTCGGGGACTCAAGGGGGAAAGTGTAAAATGAAGTCAGCATGGCCTGTAGAAAACTCCCCGGGAGAGTGAAAGGAGTCAGGCACGTCTGTGTCTGACAGCTGAACAGGACAACGATTTCTTGCATTTGCTCATATTTATATATCTCCCAGGTAGCCTTATCAGACCTGAAGCATACAGAGAGGGTACGGTATAATTTTAAAAGCCTCTGACCATGGCTGCTCATATGTGGGTCCTGATCTTACCCTGGGGTGGCTGCAGGACTGATTATTGATTTATGCTTCTATAAGAAGTAATCTCAGAAAAGGCACACTTCCGTTCCCACTTAAAGCCGGCATCTGCACCTGGAAGCCCAATTATTCACTGATCACTGAGCCTTCTGGCCACAAAGGAACCGGTGCTAGTTAAAGCCTGAGGGCCAAATTCCAACCTCAGCTACACTGGCATTAATGTTGAGTAACTCCACTGACCAAAGCAGACTTAGGCCTTGAGGCACCTTGAAATGCACAACTTTAATCTGCTGATCTGCATAGCTCTGCATGGAGAGGGGGACTGCATGGCAAAATATCCCCCCTCCCCCGCCCCCTATGTAGTAAGAGGGGAAGTGTTCGGCACTGTTGTTTATTGTACTTTATCCCCTTCGATATTTTATTTGCTTGTTGAATTCCCACATCACTTCCCAGAAGAGCTTGAACTGATGAGTTATAAGGTGTATTGCAATGACAGCCTAAGCTCTCCTGAACTCCTCCCCTCACAGGCTCTTTGGCATTACAACGAGGGGTAATTTTTTAGGCATAGTCAGGCATTCTCAGGTTGTGTTTATTTTATCTTGCATGGTCATTTCCAACTAGAAGCTGGGCCCAAATCTCCGAGCCATGCTGCCAGGAAAGGGCTCAGGGTAGCAGGAAGTGACCAACAAGCAAAGGAACCTGGGATTGAGGTTAGAAGCTTTCCAGGATTTTCCATGTTATAGTGCCACCTTAATGTCCATCCTGTTTCAGCTCAGCTTAAGGGAATGTTTTCCCTCGGACTGAGAATTTCAGCCTTTCTAGGAGCCCCGCCACCTGTAGCACACCTGGAATGCGAATGCCACAGGCATGACAAAGGATGGCCACTTCAGAGTCCAGTGCTCAGGCTCCCTTCATCTTCTCTTCACCTATTTCTGTCAGACTCGCTTAGATCACACGTTCTTATCAGACGGCTGCCTACTCACCAGTCTACCGGATGGCGCTGTCTCCAGGGAAGAGGAACAGAACATATGCCTCTCCTCAAATCACACTTGGTCTCAATGCTTGGCACATTGCTCAGGAAGTGATATTTACACACTTTGGGTAGAAGACAAACCCGTCTCTCTACCTTAGGGTCTTCTACGGGACCCATCACCACAGTAGTTAGGTTGTTCATTGAATTAAAGCCTGGACACGAGTGATCTCCCAAATTCTTCTTCAGGACCAACCTTAGGGGCGCTACAAACAAACAGCACCATCACAAGAGTGGCAAAGGCAATCCCAGGTGGAAACAGACTAAAAGTGTTCTTCTCTCTTCGCAGACACACTTCTCTCTGCTACAACCACTTTTTTCCCCTTTAAAACTGCTGCCCATTGGCATTGCCAAGGTACCACAGCAGAGCAAAGCACCAGGCCCAGCGCTTCCTATAGCTGCAGAAAAACAACATCCTAATCGGATGAGGACAGTCTGTTTACCACCACCTTTCCTAAGGGACTCTGAAAAGTTTCAATTTTGCTAACTCTCTCCCATTGTGGCCTAGAGTAGGGACCTGCCATCCAGTCTAATCTTGATGAATTTACTAATGTTTGTAAAGAGCTTGGAGGACGAAAAGCAGAGCTTGCATATAAATATCAAGTATTATTTTATTAGTCTCACCTGGGGCACCAGAAACTCTAACGCCAGCATCATACCATGTGATATAGCACAAGACATTGAGTGTAAGTGTATTTAACACAGAAAAGGGCTACTGCGAGCTACTGAATATGGTAATACAAAACAAACATTAAGTGTTGGAGGCAATGCATTGCTAAGGTATAGTATGTTACAAAACAAGAGAGTAAGTTGTGTTCTCATCTTTCCTGATCCTAAATTAACTCTGTTATTATTCTGTGTGTAGTGCCCTGGTTTGATAGCATGTACCTCCTAGCGTCACCAAGGAGCATAGGTAATATTACGGATTATTAGCCATTTAATAATCAAACAAGTTAAAACCACCCAGAGAAGCTGCTTTGCCCCAGATTTAATATTCAGTTCAAAGTCTTTTTAAAGAGACAATTCATGACCTGTATGTAGCCAAAAGCTAAACAGGCTGGAACTGTTTAAGACCCGGTCTCCAAACTTACTCTAATTAGAATGCATGGGGTCTTGCTGATGAATTTCAAAGCCAACACCCAATCCCTCCAGGCTTACCTTCTGAGGGCTGAACTCAGGTAGCATGATGCACGTAGCTCCCACCCAAAGAGGGCACAGCAGCTTATTGACCACTCCGTGGACATGGTGTAAAGGCAGCACGTGCAAGATAACATCTTCCTTCGTCCACTCCCATTTGTCAACCAGCCCTGTGACCTGTGGGGGGAAAATATAAAATCCAGCATTAGGACAAGGTGAGCCACCAGCTGAGACATAGAACAGAGCTCTAACCACAGAGAAAGCGTGGCTAATTCGAGAGCCCAGCTCCAACCCTAGCTCTGCTGTTTAAGCTGGTCGCAGCATGTCCCTGCCTGGGCTAGTTTCTGGGCCTTGAATGTGAAAAACATAAATTCAAGGGATTCATGGGAAAAAACAGGTGTCAGAATGAAAGTGACACCAGTAAAAAGCAGATGAGAACCCGCAAGGTGGAAGACCTACACCCCCTTTGATCAATGCAAGGAAAGTGGGGTCTCTTCTTTGAGACCAACAGGAGAAAAGCACCTATCATAAAAATAGAACTCAATGGGAATATTCTGTGTATCTATAGAATACATATGTATATACATACATGCACCTATAACTCCATCCGTGTTGCCAAAAAATTAGAAATTAATTGCTGCTGTTTAGGTAGGACCTACACTATTATTAACCTGCTGTTGCACAACCAGAGTCAGCAGAAACAATAGTTATCTAAGAAACTTTGCTAACACCTTTGATAATGCTGCTGACAAAAAGAAGCTGACCTATGCTGGCTTATTAGAATCCATGAGAAATTGAAATTGGGGGCAGGAAGTCAATGGTCCATAAATAGAAAAGAAAATAAACCCAATACTGGGAAAATACTAATTTTAAGCTCCCAAAAGAAAAACATTATTCTAAAGCACTAGAGTTTGGGCCCTTTTAGGCAGGACAATGCCTTTCCGAGCCTAACCTTTGCAGTCAAAGAGGTCATTTCCAGCTTGTCTAAAAAGAAAAGAGATCTGAACAGTGCTCGTCATTCGGAATTCCATTCCCCTTACTGTAGTGGGGAGGCAGATTTTAATCCAGCCACTACAACCCTGGTGTTCTGCACCAAAATGCCAGACACAGCCACTGTTCAGTCTGCCTTCCAAATGATCTGAACGCTTGTGAGGAAAGAGTCTTTCCACAATACAGTGAAGCCCTTGTTCTCTCTGTCTAGGCTCTTATACTGCCCCCCTCACCACAGTAGCAGAGCATCTAGAACCATTTTAGTCCGATACCACATCTTTGAGGTGCAATGTATTTATTCCCCTTAATGGTGTGATTTTATCAGCTGCAGCAGCGATACCAAACTGGCAAGGCAATCACCACGCTCCTTTAGACTTCTAACTCTTTTTGGCTCAGATAGCTAATGGATTTTTTGCCTTGGGGATATATAGCTAAATAATGCACAGACTTTACATAATAGTGACGTGCTGGATCAAATTATACTTCAGTGAGGGGCATGGATACATTTTTAAAAGTCATTTTGCAGGAAAGCAACCAGTAAAAAAGGCAACTTATAGAGTCACTACCACCCCTCCAGGAAAATACCCGCCCACCCACCCTAGCCTAAGCCACAGTGCATACATACCGGTAAAGATTTTCAAACGTGACTAATGGTTTTGGGTGCCAACTTGAGACACTTTAGAGGGGCCTGGATTTTCAGAGTGCAGTTGCTCAAGCTGCACACCCAACAGGAAGCACCCCAAATCACTAGTCACTTTGGAAAAAAACCTGACCTCCAATAACGTGCCATTCGTGTCTGATGAGGGAAGTATCACTTACCACAGCTTGCACATTCTGATGGGTACTAAGGACACCTTTTGGTCTTCCTGTAGTCCCACTGGTGTAGATGATCATGGCTCCTCTCTCTTTCCACTCAGGACAGTCAGTTGCCAAGGGGAACGCTTCCACAGTCTTATCATTTATACATCCATCGCTACCGGAGTTAACAAGTGGCAGAACGGGTATTCCCAGTTTCTCAGCACTAGGGGTTATGTCCCTCACATACTCTCCCGTGGCAATGACTAGACTACTCTGGGAGTCTTGGATGAAATACTCCAGTTCCCGCACTGGGTATTTCCTGTACAGGGGAACAGCTATGCCTCCACTCATCCAGGAAGCCCACTGGGCAATCACATATGAGGCATCATTTGGGCACAAAAACGAGATCCGCTCCTCCTTTAGGTCTCCACTGGAACATCTGAGCACTTCACAGATTTGCTGAGACAAGTGGACACTTTGAGTGTAAAGGTCCCTGTACGTGTGCTCTCCATTTTGATCAATGATGGCAATTTTATCACCAAAAGCCAGAGCTCTAGTGAAGACAGGGGTGACCCTACCACTGAATGGTGTTCTTGTGGTGTGCACGCCTTTTCTGAAATGCCCAACATTCCTCCGTCCACAGGCAGGCCACCTCCAGCGGTGTACACCGTGAACAAGACATCGCATGGGCAAATTCACATGGCAAAATATCCAAGAGCCCAACATTCTGCCAGCATTTCTTGATCAGACTCGATGCTGCAGAGAGAAATTATATGAACCAATAAGCAGGGAGTGGGAATATCCAGGAATTTATACAAAATATTCACACAAAGGAAAAGGGGGTAGCTTTCATTCTAAGCCTGTTTAAGTGCTAGGCCCCATCTACACACGCAGGAAGACAGCCCAAAGCACTCACAGTGGAATCTCTAAATCACAATCTCACTTAAGACAAAAATGAACATTAAAAAAGCATTTATTTTCAACAAGTGAGTTTAGCACAGTAATTAATGCTTACTGATGCCGTCCTGTAGCAACTCAACACTTCAAGTGACTGAAGAAAATAAGCAACGGAGGCCTGTCTACCCTTCTGATCTGATTGATCGATCATCACAGGTATTGTATCAGGCACAAGGTTCTGCCCTACATGATCCAACATTAACAGAATGGGTACAACAGACAGAATAGGCGGAAACAGCAAACAGTCTGGGCACCCACCATACGGTACAGGCCAGGCAGCTGGTTTTCCAAGCGAAAACAAGCAAGCAAGCAAATACCCACCATTATTGACTTGTGGGATTTGTTACAGCATTTCTGAATAAAGCTTGGATAGCAGGAAACTAACAGCATTGACTAGAGCCAGGCAACGTGTCAGCATGAGCTCAGCTGGTTCCCCCCCACGCCAGAGCTCTACCGGTACAGCGCTACCCTAACCGGGAGCGCACCCCACCATTGAAATCCTGAACTCTCCTAAACAGTGTGTGTGAACCATGTTAAATTGTATCAAGGTTCAGCAATGTAGAAAAACATCCACTAGGGAATTGGGATGAAGCAACAGTCCCCACCGTTACGGGGGAAGATTATGGGCTGGCATAAGAGTTACGCATTCTGCTCCAGTGCATAATGACATTAAAGTCCACTCTCTCGTGGAAGAAGTTCAGAAAAAGACTCTCTTGTTTTTACAGCAATGGAGACAAATGTTAGGAATGTCTAAATGCTATTCATCAGCCACTTCTTTTTTAAAGCGATGTTTGTGCTACCGTCGTGGCTGCAGCTTGTCGTTCCTCCAGGGGCAGGGCAGAGTGACAGTACACTGGGAGCATCAGGAAGAAACTGCTACAGAAGGGTGCAGGAGAGACTGGGTAGAGGGTCTCCAGAGCCCTGTCCAGGGCAGTGCCAACACTGGAACGGTGCTTGTGAGCTGGAGCAGCAGGAAGAAAGGGAAGACTCTGATTGGTTGACGCTGTCCTGAGCCACACACTGATTGTCACAGACACCCAGCCAAGGAGAGGAAGAAAAATAAGGAAAGGGTTATGGCAAAGGGCAGGAGAGACAGGACTTTATGTTGCTTCTTATGTAACAGTGACTATTAAAGTTTAACTCCACAAGTGAAGTATCCTTAAAGTGAAACTAAAACGAGCCAATTTCTGTCCAAATGCATCTAAACTTTCATTTCACAAAAAAAGATACAGGAGTGCTACATTCAATGATGGGGTTTCCTTGAGGAGGTCAATGGCCATTTGACTTTATAGGACTTCTAAAAAATCTATTATTGCAACAGCTTACAAAACACAGCTCCCCATAGCGGGAAGTAGCAGAAACAATAAACAACCGGAGAATTTGTTTGACAACTATCAATGTAAGATCCAAATGATTTACAGCTCAACTGTGCTTGGCACCAGCTCAGATGCCCCTGTTGCTAACACCTACTGTCAGCGATGGATTTTTATTTAGTTTTTGCACAGATGCAGCAGTGCGCTTTCCTGTCTCTCTCATCCACACTAATGAAATTTCCCAAATAAGAAACTTGTTTGCACATATTTTGTTTGCGGAACAACCTCAATTTCTATTTCCGCAATGAAGCCCGTGATTTAGTGCAGAAACATCTTGAACTGGGCTTTAAACTAAGAAGTGTGGTCACTGCATGCACATGACACACACCAATGAAATGGAAAAAACAAAACAGGCGACACTAGCACGACATCTTTCCATTTCTCACGTTCCTCTTTACAGATAAATTTAAAAAAAGAAAAAAAGACAACACAGACTGTTAGCAAAACCAGAATCACCTCTTTCTAACTAGTAGCCCCAAGGCCAGGTTGCTGGTGAGAGCACACACGAAATGTTAACAGGGGTGTTAATTGGAACTGACTGCATTTCCACTGTGTCACTGAAGAGCAGAGAGTTCCAAGCCACTATGGTTAACTACACTTGGCTTAGTTGGTTTCCCCTGTAAAGCTCAAAGAGCCAGGTTTTAGCTGCCCCTTCGAAACTGCAGCTTCAGAGACTTACATCATCCTCTTTTCACCACAGTGCCAGTGCAGATTTAATGGAACACTAAGCAACAGCAGCTTTCACTGGTCCTGTGCATTTATGGACTTCACAGAACTTGTGACAACTGTGTACAGTATTACAGAAGTGCTGGACGTGCCAGTCTGGCAAGGGCCGGGGCAGATTCCTTTCTTTTACGTTTTTCAGGGAGCTACACCAGTAACGGGAATCAAAATTGAGTATACAGCTGAGTAAGACGTGCTGCTGTGGGATGGGGACTGAAGGAGCAACACAGCAAGTCAATGCACTAGCTTTCGTCTTTGGAGACAGGTTCAAACCGTACCCTACTCTGGCTAAGGTAACGAGCGAAAATACATTTGGTGGTTTCACCCCAGCTCTTGACATCACAAAGCCTTGCAATGAGTGGCAGAGAAGACAGTGGTAATTATGGGCAACTGTGGGATCCAAATTCTATACACAATAAAGCATCACCACAGTTGAAGGTGGGGAGGGGAACACAACCCCAAACCAACTAGGACTGGCCAGAGAAGCAGGAACTATACGATTAACAAACTGATATATAAGGAGTTAACATTCTTTCTTCACCCTAGACAGCATTTCCATCCCCCAGCTCCCCACTCCAATGCTTTACTCAGCAAGAAATTACATTTCTAAAGGTAGGAAAACAGGAGCCAGCCTCACATCTCTCAAATTAGGAGTAAAAAAACAAACAAAGGTGATCTCAGAATGCTAATGGAGCCACAATACAATGCAAAGTAACTGGGTAACTGTCACAGATTTATCAATGTCAGTTCATTTTCCAAGACACTAATAACCATGTATTGTTCACATCTGACCACTAACAATATGTAGACTAAATGGTGGTATAAATCCTCTTAGGAAACCTGCTGTGATTTAAAGTGGAAACCTGTCACTTATTTCAGATGATGCTACTGTGCAGCCTTTCAGGAGGAAAATAACATATTGGTTAAAATGAAATTAAGCATAGCATTAAAATAACTGGTGGATTATTTCCTTGCAAGCCACAGCTTCTCTACAGATGCCCTCACAGTATTTACAGTCTTACCCGTATTCTTCCACCTGCACAACACACACCATAATCACTCTTCTCTTTCGTATGCTGGAGCACAGCCCTTTCTGAAGGAGCAAAAAAGAGAACTGGCTCAGCAACTCTAAGCTATAAAAACCCACAATATCATCAGTTTATGATTCAGATGTATACAGAAAACACTGCCCATTGCTTTAGATCAGGGGTAGGCAACCTATGGCATGTGTGCCAAAGATGGCACATGAGCTGATTTTCAGTGGCACTCACACTGCCTGGGTCCTGGCCACCGGTCCGGGGGGCTCTGCATTTTAATTTATTTTTAAATGAAGCTTCTTAAACATTTTTAAAACCTTATTTACTTTAAATACAACAATAGTTTAGTTATATATTACAGACTTATAGAAAGAGCCCTTCTAAAAACATTAAAATGTATTACTGGCAGGTGAAACCTTAAATTAGAGTGAATAAATGAAGACTCGGCACACCACTTCTGAAAGGTTCCCGACCCCTGCTTTAGATGTTTGAAACTAGACCACACAAAACCCCAGAAGATACCTTCCAGGACACAATCCTGCTCTGATCTCTGGGAATGGACAAGGTGACAAAGTAACATAGGTCTGAGGCATCTCTAGCACCTATGACTCTGTTGGACACTAGATACAAACTATCACCCAGCGACCTCAGTCATTCCTAGGCCCTGAGTCACCTCTCAACCATCTCTAGGAAGAGTGGTCCAGCTACACCCTATGAAGAAAGATCATGCCAGTGCACAAATTCCCTCACTGCTAAGAAATTTATCTCTTGCTTAAAATTTTCCTAAATCATTCCTTGCTATTCCATCTCTAACTCACCCCTCTTTCAAATGTGTCTTTACAAATCCCCATTATCTAATCTCACTTTGGTCACAGTATAAATATATCTGTAATTATAAAAACACACTAGATGACTTGAGCAACACTCTTTTTGCTGAGCTAGTCAAAGGGTCTGATCCTGACCTCAGACACGTGGTTATCACTGCATCTCTTCCAAGATCAGCTCTTGCCACTGTAACTAATCTTGCAAAAGGAGTGTGCCCCATTGTCCCAGAGAGCATGATCAAACCAGAAGCACACACAGACCACCAGATAACATTCTGCAGGTTGTCTGCCTCTGCATCACCTGATGGGAGTGAACGTGTGCTGCTCTGAAGTGTGTGAAAAGACCGCTTCCATCAAACTAACAGAAACTCACATCTGTTGTCTGCAGAAAGACCAGATGCTTTCAAACTTCCTAACTTTCCAAACAGCTCTGTGTCAGCACTTCCATCCAGAAATTTAGACAACTCAACAAATCCCAAAGGACTACTGTTAAATGTGGATCAGAAAAATGAGGGAGTATTTCCCCCAGATAGAGGAGAAGGAAGATGTGGGTGGGCATATTGTGATTGGAGGAAGTGGTTTCAGGGTGGTGGGATTTATTTAAAAAGGTGTGAAAAACTTCAAAACAGTCTGTATTTTCAGTGTTACTGTTTGTTTCCATAGTTTATTTGCATGGAAGTCAGGCCCCCTGAGGCTGGTGTATCCCCCTCCATGCAAGCACAGAGCACATGCACTGTGCCAATCCGCACACCCTCCACTCCCCAGAGCATATAGATAGCACCAATCGCACCCCACAACCCCCTCACAAACAGATGGACAACCCCCCCCCGCCCCGACCCTCTAGAGCACATGGACAGCACCGATCAGCAACCACACTGACCCCCCAGCACCCAACCAGCAGGACGTGGAAAACTGAAGGCCGCAGCCAGATGCAGCTGCTGGAGCAGCCCATCCCCAGGAGGGGTGCGCAGGCACGTCTGGGGAGGCAGCCCTGGGGCAGGAGGCACCAGGGAAGGGCACCGTGGGGAAGATGGGGCTGGGAGGAGGAGGTGCGGCGGGTTAGTGGACAGGCACCCTGGGGAGATGGGAGCGGGCGCCCCGGAGGAGGTGGGGGGTTGGACAGGCACCCCGGGACCAGGGGGCACTAGGGAAGGGCACCCTGGGGAGATGGGGGCGGGGCTGGGGCGGGCACCCTGGAGGAGGTGGGGGGTTGGACAGGTACCCCGGGGCCGGGGTGCGCTAGGGAAGGGCACCCTGGGGAGATGGGGGCGGATGCCTCGGAGGAGGTGGGGGGTTGGTGAACAGGCGCCCTGGGGCCAGGGGGCGCTAGGGAAGGGCACCCTGGGGAGATGGGGGCGGGGCAGGGGCGAGGGGGGGGCGGCCGGGCCAGGCCGGGCCTCACCTGCCGGGCCGCGTCCCGCGGAGGTCGGGTCCGTCCGGGAAGTGGGTCCCCGCGGAAACCAGGTGCCGCCGCCGGCGGTTCCGGCCCGGGTAGAACCAGCACATGGAGCCGAGGGCCGCAGCTGAGCGGGGCGGAGGGGGGGGGGGGGCGCGAACCGCCCCAGGCCCGTGGCATCGGGTGACACGCCCCCGCGCCTGTGATGTCACTTCTCTGTGACGTCACTGCGGTGACATCACAGCCCTTTGAGGGTGGGGCTGGCATCACCTCGCAGCCCCACCAAGGGGGACCAGATGTCCCGATTTTATAGGGACAGCCCCGATGTCCAGGGCTTTGTCTTACAGAGGCGCCTATTACCCCCCACGTCCCCCTGTCCTTATTTTTCACACTCGCTCTCTGGTCGCCCACATTACATCACAATGAGCTTCTGCAACCTGCCCGCCGGCCTGAGCCCCTCCGAGACCGTCCCAGGGCAAGTCACTTTCTGGGGTAGAAATTTCTCCTGCCAGTAATGCCCGATCAGGAGCCTTCCCCCACCCTCGAGACATGTGTGCAGTGCCCATTACTGTTTGTATTATGGTAGCATCTAGGAAAACCAAGCAAAGACCAGGGATCTATTGTGCCAGGCCCTGTGCCCCCATGTAACAAAGAAGATGGTCCCTATCCCAGAGAGCTCCCCATGTACATGGCAGGCAGACAGGATGCAGCAGCTGAATAAAACAGACAAATGGGGGCAGAGGATGAGCCCCCATGGGAGTGACCCGGTCCTAGACCCCACAAGTTTATTGAAAATGGTTTCTAAGTGGAATTGTTCCCAAATCCCAAACTTGCATTCAAGTTTGTGGAGAGGCTCATAGACATGTAAAGGGAATACCTGAGAACATATCCTGCCCTGCAGATGTGATGGCCGCCATCTTGGCTGACATACCGGGAACTGAAGTGGGGCCATCCAGAACTAAAAACACAAGCTGTTAAATGGCTTGAACTAAAACCAGCAGGGTGGGGCTGTAACACAACTCATCTCCTCTGTGGCCTGAGAACAGAATGGAATCTGTAAGACACATTGACAAGTGGGTTAAATAGAGAAGCAGTGGCAGGTGTCAAACAATGGAGGTGAAAACCATAGTGTAAAGACCCAGTGCAAAGCACGTGTGAAGGAGAAGCAGACAGCCAAGAACATGGGAAACCGACCTGCAGAGTGTAAGTTTGACAACGTTGCACCTTGGAGAAGGTGCAACATGTTAACTATTCAACTCTGCTGACACTAATCCAAAAGTAGTGTAGAACCCCCCCCCCCACACTCAAATAACAATTGGAGCTTTTCCTCGTTAGGGCACAACTTTTATACTAGCATACTTCGACACACCGAACTTTTATTTTAATCACTCAGACCCTCGAAACTCCACCTTTTACTTTTTCCAGGCAGGGAAACAATCTTAGCAAGCAATGGTGGCAGGCCGTCTGCGTATGCAAGGCACACATTGCCTGCCCAAGCCAGCTGTGTCCAGGGGATGATTCTGTTCAGTCCCCGAATGGGCACGGAGGACACCATTTTGTAGAACAACCTCTCCTGCACCGTATCTGTGAGGTCACGCCATCTGGAGAACAACATTTTTCATGCAAGCGTGGAATTGCATGCCTGACTACAAATGTCATGGAATGCCAGTGGCAAGCAGAGCAAACAACATTACAGGTGCCACCATATGCCATGCAGGGTTGGGAGAATGGGGACCTCTTCTAAACAGAAGCTTCCTACTTCAGCAAAGCTAACAGGTGTTTATATTTTACTAAAATGAGCTGTACAAATAAAATAAAATGCTAACTTTGCAGTCTCTTTTGGGAACCCTCTGTCTGGTGCTTTGCAGATCAAGGACTCACTGTTGGTAGCCTGTTGCCACGTTGACAGCTTCACTCCTCTGGCACAATGGAACTACAGTTAAGATAAGTTTGTCTGTGCAGGAGACAGTGCTTTTTGCAACACGGGGGAATGAACTCCCCCAGGAACTAAGGACCATCACAAACCTTCCACTCCTAGGACAAGGCGCATTCCTTTGGCCTTGGCTTCTCTAATGTAAACATATAGTGACATATGCATCTGTGGGTATATAGAAATTAGAAATAATGCACAAATTGTATACTGTATATAATAAAACAATTCCAAACCAACCCACTGTACATACTTCTCCTCTAGGGGAGAGGATGAGAGAACAAACACATCACAAATATCAGTCACCCTGCTTAATACATAGCTGGAAGGCGCTAGATACTAGAATAGGATAGAATACAAAGTCTCCCCCACACATTCCCTCACTCTGGCCTCTCCAAGAATACAGACTGCAGCCAGATCTCATGTTTAACAATTGAGATTGCACCTGACACCACAAACAATCTCATGGATACATTTTATCTATAGAGAGAGACAGAGACAGAGACAGAGAAGCAGCAAGAGTCTAAGTCACATGCAAATATTTATTCTTTTTACAAATGTCCCTCACTAGATCTGAGTAAGTGCTAGTCGGTGTGAGTAAGGGCTGCAGAATCTGGCCTGTCTCTCGTTCTTACTAGATCTACTCCCAGTGAGTCTGTCAGTTACTTCTGCTTTATTGACACAAAAACATTTTATGTTGGTTAGCCCTGCAGAGCCAATCCAGCTCAAGGAAGGTGACCTGGATTTTATTCTGGCTCAGACACTGGGTGCAACGTTCTCAGTGCTGATTGCAGAATCCTTTAAAACAAAAATTGCTGTAACAGGGATTTGAGCTGGACCCCAACGGAAGAGACTCACTGGGTGCCCCACAATGGCATCTCCTGAGTCTCGTTCCTAACCACCCTTTAACAGATGGCTTTGAATTCTCTCTCTCTGTTACCCCATACTGATACTTATTGCTGCAGACTGAGTGTTAGCTCCCTTTTCAAATGTAATGGCTGCCAGTGTCATGTTGGGGCTGGAGGTGGAGGGCAGCAATGGGCGGCTGACCATTAGGCTAAAGGAGGAGGGAGCTGAAACCAGTTGCACAAAGAAAAGGAGGGTATTTACTTGGCCCCCCGTCAGTGAGTACCTGCCACGGGCAGCAGGGTGGCTGAGTGCAGTGGATGCTTCTCTCTAGACTGAGTGCCCTGACTCTCCAGAGGCAGCCAGTGTGCTGGGTGGGATGAGCTCACTCTTTCCTTCCCAGCTCACACCTTCGTCGTAATGATCCCCGAGTGCTGGGGGCCTTGGCTGGCGGCAAGTTCACTTACCACTTCGATTCTGCATTTCCGGAGTTCGGCTTCCTGCCCTCGCCAGTGACTAAAACACTTGTGTGTGGAATGAGTCTCCTCCAAGCTAACGCAGCACTTCCAGTGCACCCATCCCTGTAGCATCTGCTGCAGGTGCCTTCCTTCCACTTCTTCGTATGCTACAGTGGAAAAGCCCGAATCCTCCCTTTGGCTTCCCAGTTCATCTGACTCCTGCTACATGGCTACCGGGGCCAACATTCTCAAAAGTGGGCACCGATTTTGGTTGTGGCAGTACTTGGGGGTGCCCTACTAGAGACGTTTGCATTAGCAGTGACCGATGTGGCAGGCAGGCAGAGTTGTAAGAGAAAGATCTTTACGAAGCATGCTGAGAGGCTGCTGTTACCTGCTGAGGCCCTAAAGTCTGAGAATAGCAGCCTGGCCCAGTCTTGCATTCCTGAGTCCCACCACACTAGGACCTTCCCGAAACCTGGCCCTCGTTCTCCAGTTCCACTTCATCTTTTTAGAGACAGCCAGAGCCTGATTTTCCGAAGTGCTGAGCACCTGCAGCTCCAGGCCTAGGTATCTCAGGCTGGACACCTCCAAAAGGGAGGCGCCCAGAATGAGTGGCCACTTCTGGGAAGGCAACTGAATAACCTCTTGTCATGCATAGCTGGCAGGAGACAGGTTATGGAGGAAGATGCTGGAGCAGATATCTCAAAGCTTTGCCCCATGCCTTACAATCTGGTGTGGTGGGACTCAGGAATGCAAGACTGAATGATTCAAGGCCTGGACAAAATGCCTTACAGAGAGAGATTTAAGCAGTTCAATGGTTAGTTTATCAAAAAGAAGATCAAGAGGAGACTTGATTACAGCGTCTAAGGACCTTTACAGGGAAAAAATACCAGGTATAAAGGGCTCTTTACTCTAGCAGAGAAAGGCGTAAGAAGAACCAATGGCTGGAAGCTGAAGCCAGAGACATTCAAATATGAAATAAGGCACATTTTTAACAGTGAGGGTGTCTAATCATTGGAACAAACCTGCGAGGGGAATGGTGCATTTGCCATCTCTGGCTGTCTTCAGACCAAGCCTTTTTGGAAAGAAAAGCAAACTGGCTCCTCTGTGACTGCGCCAAACACAACTTCTTCCATGTCTAACCCTCAGGGTGCTGAGGTTGAGCCTGTATGCAACATCCAAGCAGGGACCCTCCTCTCCCACTCAAGATCCCATTCACCCCCTGCCCTGTTTGCCCAGCTCTCCTTGTGCATCCTAATTCCCTTTCCCAGCTACCAAACCCACCTCGAGAACTCCATCACAGCTCCTCCAAAGTAGCCTCATGCCCTCCCCTCCCGCCCCGCTGTGAGAAACAGGCAACTCTGCAAGTCAAAGCCAAATCAGGCTCTGGTTTTGTAGCTGCTACACTTGGCAGGAATCATCTACCAAGGACACTTGATGCCTTCCAAAGCCAATGAGGGACAAGAGAGCTGTGCCCAGTGGTAGACACACAGGCTCCAGTTGGTAGGATTCATGCAAATCCCATCCAGCTGTCCAGGCCAGCCAGCACCTTCAGCAAGAGCCCACGTCCCTGCGATCACTAGCACCAAGAGCGAGAGAGCGAGACGGGCTCTTTCTGCCTAGGAATTAAAAGAATTCTGGAGCTGCAGGGAATAAACAAGTCTGACCCAGGCTGCCATGGAGCCCCTGGGAAATCCCCACCACCTGGGCAATTTGTCATCACCCCGCTGCCGGCGTGATTAGTACCTAAGGCCCAGCGGTGCCAAGGGGCAAGCGCCTAGAGCGCTGTGCTCGGGGGAGGTGAGAATTGACCAGTTCTCAACAGGAGCTGCGAGGTGCTGAGCCCCGAGGAAAGTCCGCCCCACCTGATTCGAATGAA